GAGGGCAGGTGGCAGATCCTCCATGGAGTCCTCAGAGGTGGCTTTGAAGTACATCTTCTGGTATTTGCTTCGTGTAAATGTATGGAAACATGTGAAAAAAAGATGTCACTGCATTATGTGCCTTTCTTCCCCCATGAGATAATGAAGGAATTGTTTTTGTGTTGACATATTTTATTGGGTTTCAGAAACATTTATTTATCATGAGTGGGGAACGTGCCTAGGAGGACATGACTTAAATGGGACTTTCAAGGGCCATTCATTTACAAATTGGGTAAGCAGATCTGGATTTCTTGTGTCTCTGCTAGAGTTTCTGATGTCCGCAGAGCTCTGCACTGTTTCTGATGTCTGTCGGGACTCAGTACTGTGAACTCAATATGTTTCTCTCTGTAAATACTAAATACTGTGGCGAAATACTGAGACCATGCAAATACCCTGTTTATTTGTTGATGGGTCTTGTTGGTGGTGTTACTATGGTGTTCTAATTTATTGATCAAAATTTTTCTGTAAGGAACAGTTGCCCTTCATTCATTCATTTTTATCAGTGTGGGCTTGCGGATGCATGTTTTATTCTTTGCGTCATAATTCAGTATCATTGTTATTTATTGCCTGGCTCAGGTTCCAGCGTTGGCCTTTGCCATTGAGAGCACTTTGAGGTCTATTCCTGGTCCTTCCAATGTGTCTTTTTATTGCTTAAGAAATCCCTTACTTTCTGACATCCCAAGATATTCCAGCCCTGTTGTCGACCATTTCTCTTAAGGACTCCTGGCTCCTTTGACTAGAGGGAGGTATTTAGAAAGCAAGATCCAGGCACTTGCTGGTGTGTACTCATTGCTACTGACCTGTGGCCGCTTCTAGCCCATGCACTGGGTAGAGCTAGGAAATACATGTATGCACACCAGCATTCACGTGCATGTAATGTGCACACACGTGTGCACACACACACACATCATGTGTGACTGAAGTCTGAGTCCATACCAGTTCTTCCAGGTCTAGTCCACACAGCAAAGCTTAGCCTTCTCCATTTCCTTCTTTTTAACTTCTTTTACCCAAAATGGAAAACCTGCTTCTCATCTATAATTGACCACATATGACCCAGTTCTAGGAATCCTGAATAAGCCCCCTGTCAGAAGCAGGCTTGCAGCTGCAGAGCTGCATGAGCGGGGCAGCCTGCCCTTGGCCTTCCTAGTGCACAGCCAGACTTACTTGCTTAGGCTCCACAGAACCTTCCTTCCCCACCCCCCTGAGTGTGTTCATGGGATTCTTCTGTGCCGGCCAGAGTCATCTGTCTCTGGAGTTTGACAGCTGGGATCTTTGGGTTATAGAGTGGTACATGTTTTAGCTTGAGAAGAAATTGCCACACTTTTCCAAAGTTGCAGTTCTGGCACTTACATTTCTGTCATCAGTGGGGAGAATTCTCTATTTCTGTTTTATCTTTTGTGTGTGTGTGTATTTGTGTGCGCGCGCCCACGCGTGTGCTTATTAGTTACACATGGCTGTAGAATTACACTGGTCGTGTATTCCTATATGTACAAGGAGAGTTATATTCGATTCATTCTACTGTCTTTCCTGTTCCCATTTTTCCTCCCTTCCCTTCCTTCCCCTTTGTCTAATCCAGTGAACTTCTCTTCTTCCTACCCGCACCCCATACTGTGAGTTAGCATCCACATGTTAGAGAGAAGTCAGCCTTTGTTTTTTTGGAATGGGCATATTTCACTTAGCATGATGTTTTCCATTTCTGTCATTTACCATCAAATGCAGTAATTTCATTCCTCTTTAAGGCGAATAGTACAATTTATTTGCGGAGGGCACAGGATCCTGAGCTGGGCAGTTTCCTCGTTGTCATTACTGTGTTTTTCCTTTGGAGCATTTTCTTCATTCTTCTTAATAGTTTCCATCTCTCCGTTGAGAGTCCCCCTGATATGGCCTGCTGTCCACCTTTCCTGTGAGAGCCTTGGACATACTCATCGTCATTGTTTCAGCGTCCCTGGCAGCTCTGATGTCTCGGTCATGCATGACTCTGGTTCTTAGTCTGCTTTTCCTCCCCTCTTTGCGTGCCTGTGATTCTGTGTTGGAAGCTGGACATTGCATCCGACGGTGGAGAGCCCTGGGAATGCCTTTTCTCCTCAGACGCGGGAGTCTCTGAGAGCCTTGCTGCTGTGCCTGTCCTCACTGCAGAGGCTTCAAGTCCCCGCGGGGCCCTGTGTTTTGGGTGGGTTGGTTACAGGAGCGCAGTCTCCGGCATTCTGGTTTCGGGTCTTCCCTTTGCACTGCACCTTAGGGACAGGGCAGTCTCTCTGTACCCTCTTGCTCTTCGCCTGTCTGCTCCCAGCTGTCTGTTCCTCAGAGCCCTCAACTTGGCACCTGGGGAGGGTGCGGAGGGAAGGCCGTGCCGCCTCTGTTCTGCCTGAGCCTCTGTCCAGACATTCACTACCTTCTCGTGTTTCTGGGCCTCGGCTTTCCCAGTGCTGCCCTCCCTGGGAGCTGAACCGTGTCTTTTCCTGCTCCTGTCCCCATTGCCGTGAGTTTTCACCATGTCCTGAGGACCTCGGTGTCTGGTACCCTTCCCCTTGCCGGGTGAGGCTCCTGTTCCCTATCGGAGAGGGTGAAGTTCTTGGCCTCTCCTGCAAGGCTGCTGCTCTCCTCCTCCAGATCTGACATCAGTGGACACTGCTTAGTGCTCTCCTCTGTGACGGGGGCTGGAGGGGTTCATGACGTAATGCCTGCAAGAGCCCCCGGGGCGCCCGCAGGTCCTGACAGCTCCCAGGTGCCCTAGCCAGCTGTTTGTTCTGTTGACCCTGCTAGCTGAACTCTGCTGCCAGTGTCCTGTTGCCTGTGCCCCAGGTGACAATCTTGCTTCTTTTCCTGCTGAAACTCCCCTTTCAGCTGATTCTCTAGGACCTCAGCTTTTCTGTGGAATTGGGAAATGTCATAGATTCGAAGTGAGCCTACCCTTTTGTGTTTCTAAAGCAGTAGTTTTCAAGGTAAGCGAGACCCGTTCCGGGTGGACTTTGCAGCAAGGCTGGCCTCTGATGAAGTTAGCCGTCCCCAGTGACCAGCTCCAGTCATCCGGCTCCCTGCTCTTTTCTGCTTCCCCCTAAAAATAGTATTTCCTCTGGCACCAACAGGCTAATCCAAGTCAAATTGAGGATGACGTGCCAATTTTAGAATTTTAAACGTCAGACAAGATGCCAGAGAAGAGGCATCTGAGGCCCTGGGAGTCCACGCACACACCCAAACCCACCTGGTGGCATCCCCAGCACAGCCCCTGGCGGGATGCAGAACACTGATATTATTTTGGAGATTTATTTATTTAATAACATAATAGTAGGTGCCTGAAAGCAAAAGGCACATAAAGTCTCATATTAAGGGAACTTAAAATGTTTTATCTTTGAATATTTTAATTAGAAACTAACACATATGCATGGTAAATAACATGAAAATTCTAGTTCTTTCCATTGCCTAGAAATGATTGTCTTCAAATGTTTGGGGCTAGGCATTCTTTGAGACTTTTCTCTAAGAATGTATCTTTGCCGGGTATAAAGGATACTGAAGTTAGTATTTGGGAAAGCCAGGAAAAATGCCTGTTCTTTTTTTCTCCTCTTTGCATTTTTTTCCCTTTTTAAAAAATGGCAGTGGTTCCCCTCTCATCCCCAGGGGATACTTCCCCAAGACCCTTGGTGGGTCCCTGGAACCTCGGGTGGTACAAAAGTCTCCGTGCCCTGTGTTTTCCCCATGTGCACGGTGACCAGTCAGTGGCACCCGGAGGAGCTCGGTCGCACAGCTGCAGCGTGTACGGTCGTGGGTGGTCTGCGTGGCCCCTGCTGCCCGCTCCCTTCCTGTAGGGTGAGGTGCCACGTGCCCTGGGAGGAGGTAGGTCGAGGCTGGAGGTGTGGGCCACGTCGCACAGGCTGGGCCACTGCTGGCCTCCTACTGGCACACCAGCACTGTGGTGCCCGGGCCTCGAGCTGAACCACGGACAGGGCGGGAACCGTGGGCAGCATGGACACGCCGACCAGGGGCAGTGCACCCCAGGTGGCAGGTGCAGCTGAGCAGGGGTGCGTCACGCTGCTCAGAGTGATGTAGTTCAAACTGCACCTGTTTCTGGGATTTTTAATACTTTTGGACTGTCGTTGGCTTAAACCCACTGAGGTGATGCCACAGATGCCACTGGTGCCGTGAGTGCAGATGCAGACGGGGCTGCGGGAGTGCCCTCCTCGCACCCTGGCCCGGGGGCGGGGTTGAGGCGGGGTCAGGGAAGGGGGCGGGGCCGGCTCCAAGAGCAGCCCCTGTTGAAGAGGTGGGCTGTTAACCCAGTCCCCAGGACGGGCTCTGAAACTCCCTGACCTTCTCGAATATTCTGTGTTAAGCTCCCTCTCGCCTGACGCTGTGACTCTGGGTCCCCCTTCCTGTGAAAACTCGTATCAGAGGGAAAAATGACCGGGAAATTTATCACTTCTCTTGGAAACTTTTTAAAAATAAAGAGAAGGTGGCTTGATTATCAGAAGAATATTTCTACTCAGGGAACAGAGGGAACATCTATAGAACTGCCAAAGATTAAAGAAATTATTTGGCTCAGAAATCAAAAGCCATCAATTTTTTGTGTGTTTTTAATTTGTTTAGTAAAAGGAAGGTTCAAGGAAGTAGGAAGAGGGGCGGGAAGTGGGGACTCCGCGGTCCCCTGCGTGCCCTCAGGAGCGTCTGCTGGAGGGTGTTTAGGTGTACCCTTTGAGGCTTCACTTCCCACTCTGTTCGGCTCGGCCTGGTGAATCCCGCTTTCGAGGTCCTGCCGTGCTCTTCCTCGCGTGCCTGCCCTGCTCTGCCCTACCCTGCCACTGCCCGTAGCTCTTTCTCCTCTCAATCCCTGTTGTGTCCACTGCTTCTCCGTGTCGCCCGGGCCTGGGACGTGCGTGCTGTGGGCAACCCCCAGTGCTGCGCGGCTCTGGACCACAAGGCGGCCTGCCTGCAGAGCCCTCTAATGGCACTCTTGGTTGTCTCATCAGATGAGAAGCAGAGATTCAGCTACGAGAGGTCTGGCTGTGACCTTGAGGACTCTGACGGCCCTGAGGAAGATGACAACGAAAATGAAGAGGACGATGAAGACAGCCAGGCCGAGTCGGGCCTGTCCGCGGCTCCCTCTGTCACCGCCAGCCCGCAGCATCTTCCCGCTAGAAGTGGCCTGCAGGACTCCGCAAGCGCTGACGAGGACGTCAGGACGCCCGAGTGCTGCCCCGGGGCACATGCAGACCCAATGGATGTGCTGCCTAGAGCGCTGCTCACCAAGATGACCGTGCTGAGCGCCATGCAGTCCGACCGCAGCCAGAGGACACACTCTCCAGCCAAGCCCGCGCAGCAGGCCGCCAAGCATGAAGGCCAGACAGGTCCTCCCGTCGAGCCTTCCAGGTCAGCTGAGGCTGCAGCCAGGTCCCCCTGCCGTCAGATGTCTGTGGACTACCCTGAATCAGAAGCCCTGCAAAACTCTCTGACAGGAAGGACTGTCGCAGTGACACAGGTACGTTTTAGTACCCCCCGCCCTTTTTCCCGTTACACATGGAGAGCCTAAGGAAATAAGGCACCTGTGAGTGATTTATAGCCAAACCAGCTTACTCTTGTGTTAATTTAATGGCAGAAGTCACTTGTGTCCTTTGGAGTCTCGTTAAGTGTTTAAGTCAGCATTCACCTACTGTGTTGTAAATCTGTGAAGGCTCTTGAAAAATATACCCATTTATTATTAATTTGCTTTTTGAAATAAACTATGAATGGGCCAACTGAGAACCAGAACCCTTGGACTTACTTGTCCCACGTTTCCTTGAAATCATCTTTTCACCAGATTGATGTGATGGACTTGGACCACGTTATCCAAATGCTGTGGACTGTGCGCCCCGTTAGCAAAACAGCCACCATTTTTCAGGTCAGAGTGACGGAACATGTGTCAGGGAGTTCACTTGGCTTGAATGACCAAGCCGCGTGGCAGGTCGGGAGAGCTGCTCCCAGGAGCAGCTGCAGGCCAGCCACAGGCCCGCAGAGGACTACAGACTGTGCAGCCTGTGTTCCCACCTGGCTGGTGTGACCGGCCAGTAGTCAGCTCTGGGAAAGGCTCGTTCTTGTCACAGGGGTAGTTCTTTCACCACTCCTGGGTATCAGTTGTTGCAGCAGGATTTATTTCTAAGTGGGATAGATCTCAGTTTGGTAGGTTAACACTGAAGACAGACAAAAGGACTGTAAAAGCTCGGACCTCTACAGACTAGCCAGAATTACACAACTATGTTAGTGTCTGAGTTAAATTACATTGATGTAGAAATTAAGCCAATATATAAATCAATATAGCTCCAGAATATAGATAATGTCAAGAAAAGGCTAATATTCAGATAGACGTCTTGGGCAGAACAGGGATGGGCATGATCCCTTCCAGTGAACATTTCCTTACTTAAGTGTCAGTCACCCCTGCTCTAAGCTTCTCCATCCCCAAGTGTCTCATGCACCTACCAGGCCTAGAAATCAGTGTCAGCAGATATTCCCAAAACTTTGGAACAAGGAGGAAATATGAGTGAATAACAGCCTTTCCGGGGCAGCTTCATCATGAACAATGTTAGGGTTAATTTTTCCCGAGTGAGTTAGCGCTCACGGGCACTAATCTCACAGTCACTGACAGCTCCTAGTCTGAGACGGAGTTGGCGGTGCTGGGAATAACAGCAGCCGCAGCACTGGGAATTTAACTGTGGCCACCTGTCAGTTATTCTCAATAGAAATTGTGATGAAATACAGGAAATTGGTTTGAAAAATGCAAAGCTGTATACAAAACGTTCCTGTTATTTGTACTAGGAAAGACATTAAGGATGCAGATTTCTTAGATGGACATTTATTTCTAAAACTCAAAATGTAATTTTGAGCAAGCTTATTGTTATAAAATGCAAATGTTCATACTCTCACCACATTGAGAAGAACAGGTGGAGCACTAGCGTTTTAGCTTAGTGGCTGAGAAAGCTCTGCCATCAAAGGATCATTCTCTCTTGTCTTTCAGGACACGTCATCTGCCAGACTCCCTTCTGCTGCAGTGGAGCTCAGTGCTCAGCCTGCACCAGGGGCTCCTCCCGTGGCTGCTCACGAACAAAAGTCACCACCACAAGTCGCCCTCCCCGTGCCGCCAGGCCTGCCTTCCGCCCACACGCACTTGTTTAGCCACCTCCCCCTGCATTCCCAGCAGCCGTCCAGGACACCCTACAACGTGGTGCCGGTGGGGGGCATCCACGTGGTGCCCGCCGGCCTCACTTACTCCACGTTTGTGCCCATTCAGGCTGGGCCAGTGCAGCTCACAATTCCTGCTGTCAGTGTCATTCACAGAACCGTGGGCACCCCTGGGGACACGGGCACAGAAGTTCCCAGCACTACAAATCCCGCGGGGGTGGCGGAGCTGAGCGGCGTCGTGCCGTGCATTCCCATCGGCCAGATCCGCGTGCCCGGCCTGCAGAACCTGAGCGCCCCGGGCCTGCCGTCCCTCACGTCGCTGAGCATGGAGACCGTGAACATCGTGGGCCTGGCCAACGCCAGCATCGCCCCGCAGGCGCACCCGCCGGGGCTGGCGCTCAACGCCGTGGGCCTACAGGTCCTGGCCGGGACGCCCTCGTCGCAGAGCAGCCCCGCCCCGCAGGCGCACCTCCCCGGCCTCCAGATCCTCAACATCGCCCTGCCCACGCTCATTCCCTCCGTCGGCCAGGTGGCCCCCGACGGCCCGGCCTCCCAGAGCAAAGCGTGTGAGCCGCTAGCCAAGCAGACTTCGGCGGCCAGCGCTCAGCAGGTCAGCAGGACCGAGTCTCCTCAGGGGTCACCTCAAGTCCAGCCGGAAAATGAAAAAAACAGGCCGGGTCCACCCGCCCCCGCAGGTGACCGCGCGAGGCTCGATGGCTCAGGTGCCCTGGACCCCGAGAAGGCCGCCTCAGCGAGTCAGGGCAGACCCAGGCCTGAGCCGAGCCGCGGGCAGGGCCAGGCGGCCACCGCAGAGCCCCTGCGGAGGGTGCGGGCGGAAGCCGTGGGCAAGCCGGCCGGCCCGCAGATGGACAGACCCACGGACAGACCGGCGTCCAGGCCCGCAGCTCCGCCCCAAAGGCAGCCCCCCGTGCAGTTCAGCGACGGGAGCAGCGACGAGGACGAGGACAGGCTTGTGATAGCAACCTAGTGGTTTAGTTTTTATTATTTTTTTAAATAACACTTAAAGGTTTCTTTGAAAACCCTCTTTTCCTTAAAGCACATTTTTCTGACATAAACTCATGACTAATCTTTGTGCAATCATGAACTTTTGACCAATAATTGTTGTTTTGTGTCAGCTCCAGCCATTTTTGTACATGTTGTATAGACAATTGTGCCTTTTAGAAGTTTTATGTTTAGAAACTGTAGAGATTGTTGAATCTCTCTCTCTATAAAAATATGTTATATATGTATATGAAAAAACCAGGTAGTTATTTGTGTTTAGTAAGAAGAACCCATCAAATAAATCAGATGATTAAATTATATGTTTGCACTGTTGAATATAAATTTTTATGGCCGTGGGGCAGTTTCTGTGTGTAAATTAGTATGTGAACTCCATATTTATTGTATTCATAATAGTCTTTGAAAATGGATCTGTCCTCCTCCTTGTGTACGACAATAACTTTACACTTCAGACAGGTTTTCTGTGTTATGAACTGTTTCAGTAAAACATTGTTTACTGACTTTACCCTGGCTCTGTCCTTCTCCTTGTGTACGACAGTGACTTTACACTTCAGGCAGGTTTTCTGTGTTATGGACTGTTTCAGTAGAACATTGTTTACGGACTGACTTTACCCTGGATCTGTCCTCCTCCTTGTGTACGACAGTGACTTTACACTTCAGGCAGGTTTTCTGTGTTATGGACTGTTTCAGTAGAACATCGTTCACTGACTTTACCCTGGCTTGAGTTGTGCCTTCGTCCCAGCAGCCAGGGCTCAGTGCCCCGTGCTGCTTCTACCCCAGGTTCCCTCCTTCCCACGTCCCTCCACCTTGGCCTGAGAAGCAAGTGGGGGCCCTAGTAGCCCCTCCACCATGTGAAACTACCACAGGTCGACAGCCCAGACTTGTTTACGTTGCCACTTGTTTACGTTCGCAGTAAGTTTGCAGTTGCTTCCTTTCTCCTGAGCAGACATTTAAGAACACTTTCTGTAAGTACATACAGCACACGGCTCAAGTGGGCAAAGCTCCTAAAGGTGGACATGCACAGGGCTGGTAAATGTGAAATACGTTAGAAGACAGCGGTCCTGAGGGCTGGTCTCGGATGACACCTACAAAACAGGTCCTCCAGACGCCAACCCCAGGTCTGCTCATGAGCCGCGAGCACTTGTTCCACTCATTCCCACTGGTTACACACAGAGGTATGCTATGTCCAGGAATGAAACTCAGAGGGTCCAGGATTTATAGAAGAAGGAATTCGGAATTCTAAGTTAAGTGTTTCTCTTTAGAAACGATCACTTCCCATCTCCAGAGGTTTAACCGCCACTCCTTCACAAATAGGCGGACAAAGTTTCCATCTCTGTGATGTGCATTATTACCAAGGATCACGGGTGCCAGGTGTATTTTTCAAAACAGTTTGCTGTTGGAATTTGAATATTTCTGGTAATGTGTGCATGTTTTCAAAGGCCTGTGTCATGGAGACCAGGGACGTGAAGATGATGAGACTTCAGCATGTGGGGAATGGACTAGGGAGTGTGAAGTCACACTGCTAGCCACCTGGTGTTCGTGCTAATCCACATTAGTCTCTCTAGGACACACTGCAGGCCCAGCAGGCTGACAGGAATGCTTTAAATGCACGCTTCAACTCGCGTGGACACAATTCCATAGATTAATTGACAAAATCCTCAAAAAAATAATATATTTTATCTTCTGAGAGATTTGAAACAAATCCTGGAACTTCAACCAGAGGAGGTTCATTACCCTGACAATATGATTGTTGGCATTGAGGCCCATTATCTGTCCAGTTTCTCAAAATTAGTAAGTTTTAGCTTCCTGCCCTGACCTTGTATTATACTTTTATTGCCTGAGTTTTTGAAGCAGTATAATAAATATGCCTAACTCCATAATTATATTGTATAAGTATTCATGAGTTCTCTCCCTTTAAAAGTAATGCTCAGAATTAAGCTTTGAAACTTTTTAGTTTGTCTAGAACTTTCTTACTTTGTGGAATTCCTATATTCAACCATGGATTAGACATTTTGATACACTGCCTATTCCCTTGAAAACTTGATAATGCTCTCACGAACCTTAGTCTTATTTTGTACACTGGATGTTTCGAGATTTATCACATTATGTACATACCATCGATATAAGTGGCTTTCATGCTTAAATGTGGCATGATGATCTGATTTAAGATTCAGCTTTATACTGGTGGAAAAGCAGAGTGTGTTCTGTAGAGATTACCGGGAATGAGGATGTTCTCCCAGGCTGGTGTGATATGTGGTGTCCAATGCTGGACAATGGCAGTGACTACAGCTCCCAATGAGCTCCAGGATCATAAGACTGACACAAACAGATTCTCCGTGTGTGTGGGTTGCTAGGCTGGGGTGTTTGTGATTAGGCGCAAGAAGTGCATTTGCAAACTTCCAATATTTTTAACTTATGATGAGTTTATTGGGAAGTAATCCCATTATCAGTCTAGGATCTAGGACTATCTATACTCAAAATACTCAGCTAGATAATAAATTTTGCCAAAGTCTGAACCATTTTATTTTGAAATAATCACTTACACAAAATAGATAAGAGAATATTTAACTTCTGAACAGTTTCTCCAGTCATTTTTCCCAAGGAGCACTGTTCATTTGATACTCCCAAATGCAAATCATTTGAAAGTCATGTAATTAGAGAGCTAGGGAGGCTTCCTTTGACTTCTGTTCTTTTGTGTTTTGTGCAAGACCCAGAGTACTGGACAAGTGGAATACAATGACAGCCAAGTTCACTGATAGTTTTTGGTAAAGCAGGTGACAAGCATTATGGGGACAGTTTCAATACCTTCTATGAATGTACCGCAGTGCCACCATCAAAAGTGTTGGAAAAAATAACTCATTTTCATTCACCAGACTTGGACCACAATGATAATTCCTTCTTTCAGAATGGTAATTAATGTATGATACTTAATATACTTTTTTTTTAATAGAACAGCCATGACTTTACTTTCACAGGACAATGTAAAAACCACTTTTCTCATTAGGTTAAAATTCAGGTTAACCCCAACCTGATTTTTAAATGGTGCCACTTGACCGGGATCACGTGAGTTTGCTCGTCATTTTTGTTGGAAGACTGTCAAGATAGTATCTTTCTTGAAGCATGCTCAGGTCAAATTATAGCAGCATTGCTCTTCCTGACTTTCCTGTTTTTACCCTTACATTTTGAAATAAAGTTTAAGCAATACCAGATGATTTTAATTAGAGTCATTTTGTTACAAAGTCATCTTACAGTCCAAGGATGCTAAATCTCCTTATGACAAGAATCTTCCTTCAGAGTGACTTCCCATGACCATAGAGAATCATCCATTTATTATTCAAAGAAGGAGAGTAGATGTATGGTCATAACAATAACTCCCTGCTGCTATAGAAAAAAAATGGAGTGAATTTAAGTCAATAAGTAAAATATTTTCTCCAAAAATTTCATAATCTGAAAATCATGAAGATTTCCTTAAAGGTATTGGATTCCCAGCCATTGCACACACAGGTTGATTTGGAGCCCTGCACATACAAGGATCTGTGGTAAGCATACCTGTGCTTAGGTGTTCCCTACCTTCTGCATCAGACTGGGGCCAGAAGACTCCCAGGCTTCCCACACCGAGTCGTGATGTAAGTGGCAACAAACTGCAATACTAGGAAAGATGCAAGAGAAATTAGCAGGTGTACTTTCTACCTTAAGACAGGCCATATAAACTACAGACTGGTATTAAACCACATATATCTTAGAAACCAGACTATAAACATGAGAGTCAAGAAAGCCGTATAGTCAGACTACACACACGAGAGACTTAAGTAACTAGAGGATGATTTGTGCATCTATGTCAGTTGCTGTATTTTGAAGGAGGTATAGGATTTGAGACGTGCTGCCAAACAGAAAAATAGCAGAGTCACGAAGGCAAGGGAGGATTCCTCAAACGCTTGTAAATATTTAGCATCAGGGTTGTGGAAAGGCTGGGGGAATGCAAATGTAATGCAGATTAAATGGTATCCCTGCCCTCCCTCCAGGAGTAAGCAACACACAGAGCAGATTGAGTGTCACAGAAGTGGCCCAGCCCAGTAAGAGAGCAAAGAAGAGAGTTCTGGCTGAGTTGATAAGGGAGCACTTCAAGCTGAATAGGACATTTCAGGTTGGCCCTGAAGGGTCATTATTAAGCAGAGACAATAGATGGGAACAGCATTATGGACAGATGGAATATGTAGGCGAGTATTTATCCCTATTCCAATCAGGAAGGATTATCTCCACAGGTAATGAAGCCTCACCTTGCAGGTGCCGGAGCCAGGATTTGAAGCCAGGATTGTGTGTTGTAGCAGGTTACACACAAACCAAGGTTCAGGAAATACAAAAGAGACCAAAAGAATTAAAAATGTATCTGGGATTCATTCAGCAAGGTATCTGACAGAGCCGTGGTGAGGTCCTGGAGAACGAGGGCTCCTCACATGGAAAGGGCTCTGGATGGCACAGAGGATCATGGGGAAGACAGCAGGGGCTTGCGGTTCAAAAGACCTTCATCCTTGCACTAATGTGCTTGTGATTTATGACAATAACAGGACAGCGAGAGCAAGGAGGGGAGGATAGGACTGCAGAGGAGGGTGGAAAGCAGACCTGAGTTCCCCTGGCCCAGGGGGCCACAGGACCTTCTCTTTTTAATGGTGGATTCCATAAAACTATAGGAGACATTTGTTAATGACCCAAGTAGATGATGAGGACCAGCATCCAAGAAATTCCATCAACTGAAGAAGATGGGCTGAATGTAAGACAGAATTTAAAAAGAAAGCTGAGCACGGGCACTTGTACCAATAGCAGAGCAGTTTCCTTTATAACAAATTCAATACATGCCATTCTCATCCCCTTCTCAGAAGAAAAGGCATGATCTGGGTTGGGGATGTTCAAAAGACATTACTTAGACCCAGACAAAAGCCATGCTCTGACTCTCCATGATCAGCGCACCCTGGGAGTACCCCCATAACTGGAACTTCTAGACTCAAAACTTGAACAGAGGCAGACAAGCATGTTTGGAGGCCATCAGACTCGGGAGGCCAAACCTAGGAGAGGGCTGGAGGGAGGACATCTAAGAAAGCCTCTGGGGAGTATCTTAGTAGCAGAAAGAAGAAAAGAGTCTTTGCAGGTGGTGGGGGAGTGTTCAGGGATTACGCAAGAGGAGAGGGAGGGGCTACCGTGAGGGAAATTCCATGTCTCCATCAATTTCTATGTCAAACCAGGATTTACCTCCCAGCAAGAAACCAGTGGGAATTCATGACTCACAAGCTGAATCGCCTATTTGCATAATAACCAGACATGGATGTGCAGGAATGTATTTATCTTCAAGGAAGACTGCAGGATTAAAAATTGTAGCCATTATTCACAAGAGTTCTCAGGATCAGCTCTTAGCTCTTAGAAGAAGTGAGCAACTTCTTCCTCCCATTTAATTCTCTCTCTCTCTTTTTTTTAATATTTATTTTTTAGTTGAGGTGGAAACACACAGTATCT